AAAGATTATGTGAAGAAACAAATTATATCGTGGAAGCACTGTCCAACAGAAGAAATGCTAGCTGATTTGTTAACAAAAGCGTTATCACCATATGATAACGATAATCACTCATCGATTGAGCATGCAGATTAAAGAATTTAAAAACGAATCTGTTAACAAATACCTCCGTAAGCTCACATATGACAGTAGTATTAATCACTCACTATGGAAATGCACGAAGAATTTAAAAAGACCAGCTATTCAAAATTCGCCTAACATATTAAAACAATTGCTGGTAACTGGGCGAAAAATAATCAAGAAAAAGCGAATGCTTTCTGCGAGCACTTATCCAACGTTTTTGCTTTAGGAAATAGCGATACCAACGAATTGGACTTGGATAACATACAGTTCTCATCATCATCTAATGAAATTCCCAGCATATCGGAAATAGTAGTCATTCAAATTATTAATACTAAGCTAAAACTAAGGAAATCACCTGGATTTGACCTGATTACTTCTGAGATACTGAGGCAGCTATCCATCAAAAGTATCTTTAAGCTAACGGAAATTCTCAACGCTATACAACGACTTAAATACATTTTGAAAATGTGGAAAATGCCAGAAGTGCTAATGATATTTAAGCCAGGCAAGCTGGCTAATGAAGTCAAGCCGTATTGAGCTATAACGTTACTCTCAACGATTTTAAAGTTGCTTGAAAAATCGATATTAAAAAAACTTAATCCAATTATATCTGAAAATGATGTTATACCTGATCACCAGTTTGGATTCCGGACTATAGACAAAATTCATCGAATTACAAATATCATAGAAAATACGTAATTCTTTTTGAATCGTATCTCTATGATGCAAGAACAATCCTAGCTCAATTGAGATCAGGATATAGCCGAGTGCTAAACAGTTAACATAAACACGTCTCTTCCTAACTGCAGCTCTTTTCCTGTCCTTCTACACACACAAACCTTCGACCAATTGACATTTGGGCCTACCCCATCGAAGTGGCCAAGTTTCTTCGTCTGGATTCAGGTTAACGTTCAATTAGATCTCACCCACCCAATCCGCTCCATCCTCTTTCCACCTCCATCACCCTCAACCAACACCCACCCACTTCCCTATCCGTGTAATCGTCTTGTTAATCCTTTTATGTTATCTGCTTACAAGTCTCATCGGGTTACAACAACAACAATAACAATGAGAATATTTCGTCAATGTAAAAAATATACTATGTGTTTATATGCTATGTTCACACAGCCAAATTTCCTTAATTTAGGAGAAATGAAATTAAGTTTGTTTTGAAAGTGTTCCAGAAAGATTCCAGTTTAACATATGGGATGATGACATTACCATTTCCTTCTCCAGGTAATCGTCATGAAAGTTTGCATCTAAAATATTGAAAAAACCGTTAAACAGATAAACATAATAAAAATAACAAATAAATAACAGATTGAGTAAAAAACTTATGTTTTAATATTTATTTACCATTAATATTTTCCATTTGAAGTTGTTTGATGTTTTCTCATTTAAAGTCACCAATTATTTTTTTTACATAAGTTTCAAAATATTTTCCCGGTTTTATTAAAGTCAGCTGTTTTGAAAAATACATGTCACTTTTTCGTTATCTCCACTTTATCTTTTGCTTAAAATTTGTCTTTTACATAGTTGCATTTGAAAATTCCCTTAATTCCATGCTTCGTTTCAGCGAAATTAAGGCCATTTTCCTTAGTCTCATTCTGACATTGAAACTAAGTTTTGTAAGGAAAAAAAAAACTAAATTGCGCTGAAACGAAGATGAAATTAAGATTTTTGTGAAATTAAGGTGTGTCTGAACAGCGTATTAAGTTAAGTTATTACTGTGATTCATTTTACAGAAAAAAAATAATTTCTGTTAAGAAAATTATGATGAAAAGAAAGTTTGAATTGTTCATTTAGTAAGGCATTTAAAATGTTCGTATTTAATCATCTTTGTCACAGTTTAAAAAAATTTTTTTTTATATTTCTGTGGCCGTCCCATCGCATTGAAAATAGAAAAATGTTGAGTCAGTACACTTGAGCATTTTTACTCTCTATTAACTGCGAGGTTTTTACATAACTCCTCTCTACGTCTTGACTGGATTATTGTTTATCACTTTATCAGACTAAGAAATAACTATCCTCAGATCTGCATATCTCCCCGAGCAGCCTGTAACCATTCTGAGATTCGAAAACGTGGTGTTGGTAGACTGGTCAGTTTTTGTAAATAATTTCAGGGATCTATCCTTTATGTATTTCTTGATAGGATCAATCTTGAAGTCCCTGAGGATGTCATTCGTCCTAATGTACCATGTCATCTTGAAAAGTCTTCTCAGAGCCTGGCTTTGTGCAATTTTTAGCTGGTGAAGCCTTGCTAAACGCCACTCATCCATATAGAAGTGACACGCGAATTATTTGGTTTTATATCAGCCATTTTATAGCATATTAGACAAACATTTAAGCAAATTCGACATTATGCACCTTAGAATTTTAGTACAAGATTCAGCTTTAATTTGATGTATATATACATCATATTCTTTGAAGACACAAAGTATAAAAATAATTATGAAAATAATTATAAATAAATAAATAATTATTATTATTTAAAATAATTATGATTTTGGAGTTTTACAAAATATTTCACTACTGAAACGATAGCTTCGTAGTTAGAAATTTTGATCTGTAAGCCAATATATAAATGAATGAGTTATGTTCGATATTTGGTTTTTCGGAATACTCCGAACTGTTTATTCTAACCTCGATTAGTAACTGCACTGAACAAAATCTTAAATCGATTCTTATAGTCTAAATTAGTAATAGAAAATTCAGCATCAACAAGAACTGTTGCTCATGTAGCTTCTCACGAAAAATATGATCGTCTGTAATGCACGTTGCACCTGCAACAGGTAAGAGCAATGATTATGGCAGCACCTGCATACTATTTAGAATAATTTGAATTCCGTTGGCGACTGCTGCAACCTTTGCTTGAGTTAATATTACGTATTATTATGACATTAAATGTCAGCAGCATTAACTTATATAAAGTAATTAAAAATTTAATTTAAAATATCTTACCAAGATAAATTTTACTTAGTACTATACAGCACAGTACAGTACTGTTTTAAGAATGTTTCCAGAATGTAAAATTATTTATGCTAAAAAATAAAATTCATTGAAAATATGTATATGGTAATACTTGTTTGCCAAGTAACCTTAAAAAGTGTTGCTACCATATCGACCTTTTTTGCGTCTTATAAATTTTGTTTCAATATTCAAGTTTATATTCTATATTCAAGTTTATATTCTATATTCAAGTTTGCAAACCAAATTTCGGTCTGCAACAAGTTTGCGGTGAAATTAAAACTTATCAATTATTTGTTAAGTGTGCAAACATATTTGCTTGTGTATATCGAAGTTTGCAAACTTTTCATAATTTGAAAATTTTGGTGAACGTCGGATGTGCAAAAAACTCGGGAAAAAATTATATAATAATAAAAAAAGTGAAATATCGAAATCTACAAATTTATTTGACAATTTTGGTAAAAAAAAATTTTTAAATAATAAAAAAAGTAAAATTGGAAAAAAAGTGTTAAAAACAATTATTTTGTGTGTGAATAAAATATTAATATGGCTTTTCCCCATAATAATATATATAAAGAATTAATTGAAGAATACAAAAGCGAACGGTGTTTGTGAGAAGTTAAAAGTGATGCGTATAAAAATAAATATTTGAAATCGCAAGTTTGGAATAAGTTAAGATTTTCTAGATGCCACTTTAGAACATGCAAAAAAAAAATTAATGGTATTCGGATCAGGAATTATAAAAACACTGAATATTTGTAACTATAATAAATTTTGTTAGTAAATAAGTATAAATTATAAGATATTGTAAAATAAAGAAAATATACAATAAAAAAAAAGTATAAAAAAATTATCAAGTGTCCAAACTTATTGTATTACGAGGAGATTCAGGGTCACAAAAAAATATTCTTGTAACGACTCTGGGATCCGACGAACGAAAGGTTCGGCGGTAAGGTTCATTACAAGTTTCGATTATTGTTTTGCACTATGTACTTGCTCCGCTGTTGATATGAACGCTGTAGAAAATAAATCAAAATGAAGTATGCAAACCTTGTTTCAAAGTGTATAGCAAAACGCATACTCGGATTGCATAATTGGTTTGCAAACATGTTTCATCGTCTATATCATGCTTAAGCGAACTATTGGAAACATTCATTCAAAATTCCAACAAATATTGCAATCATATGTAAACAAAAATTGAAACAAAATTCAAAAATTTCATATATATGAAAATTCGGAAAAAATCACAAATTTTAGTGTTTTATTTACAAATTTTTGCTTGCATTATGTGCACATATATAAGATTTGATATTTACCAAAACATAACACTTGAAAGACTGCAAAACTGATTTTAATATTTCGCATATCGAATAACACTTACTATATATATAATTAAATGACGTAAGTTGTGACTATTTTTTTGCTATTCTGAAAGAAAAAATTACGGCCATTGACTGTTGTTTTTGTTTGTTCGACACACGAGATGGCGTTGCAGTTGTTAATGGGTTCGCCACATATGTTTATTAAGCCCTTAAGCTTTATTAAAAGCGCTGATTGTGTTTTTTTCTCCACATGTACACAAAGTTAATATATTTGTTCGCTATATATGTCTATTAAGCCCTTAAAACGTGTTATTGTGCTTTTTCTCCACATGTACAGAAAGATGTCAACAAATAACATAATTTGTTTTAAAACATGAGGAATATAAACGACAATAATTTAATTGCACCTACAATCAAACATTTGTGTTTCGTTTACTGCATTTAATCAAAATAGCTATCTTAAGCACCTACTTGGACTAAAAATTGATCGGGTCATAAATATTGTAATCTCACATATATTTACGAAATGGTCAAACATATCTTTACATCTGGCATCACTTTGCATTTGTGTCTGCTCGTTGTTTTAACGAATCGTATCTTCGTATTGAATTTAGTCGGAGTTCATCATCGAAGTTTGCGTGTGGAAAATGGAGCGGTAGCTAATGAAATTAATATTAAAAACGCAAAGAAACGGCCTTTGTCCGCTATTTCAGCGAATTTTTTTTGTTAAATAAAAAACAACGACGACGAATTACTACTACCAATTATTACAACAGCATTAAAACATTTAACAATTACAAAAAAAAAACAAAATTTTTGTAATGAGAAAATTAAATGTAAAATCCAATTTGCAACAAGAAAATCACAGCTACAACAACAATAGAGCCTAATACCAGCGACTATAGATTTTTACCAAGCAGAGCAGTTAATGACGGCAATTTTAGCAAATTAAAAATTTCCACCATTTAGCAGCAAAAATTTCAAAACCCAATAAATTGCTTACATCAATTTGAGGAACACAAAAAGAGCTTTGTTGATTTAAAGCTAAAGAAATTGTGAAATATTTAATTTTTTTTCATGCTGCGCAATATTTGTGCTGCAAAACTACGCTCATCTCATATCCATTTATATTAAAATCCATTTGAAATCAATGCAATAGAAACACCAAGCTGGACATAATATTTCTTTTACCAATATAAAGAAATTTAATATATTCATAAATATTTTAATACATTCTGGGAAAGAAAATTTTAAGTTTTATATGTACGCATCCACCATTTTGAATCAGTAAAACAGCAGAGAAATTAACTGAGTAAAATAACGAGAAGGAAGAAGAAACGCTGACAGCAATAAAAGAAAATACGTCAACAACAATTGCAGCTGAACGCGAATACAGTTTGTTTTTAATTTGTTGGAAAAGGGTACAGAAGAACGAAGGTGCAGGCACGCTTAAATGAAAATATATAAAAAAATTATCGGAACACTAATTTTTCTTCGATTCCAAATTAAAATCAGAAATCTGTAACAAACAACAGTATCGTGTGTTCCTTTTTTTTTATTTGAAAAGTGTTTTAAGTTAAATTTCTTGCAATGGTCGAACGAATTTTAGAAGAAAATACTCGTACAGTCGAGAGTACTACTAATGGTACCAGCACTGATACCGACAACAGCTGCAGTCAATCTGGTAAGTTTAACTTTATTTACACAGCTTGTTATATATTTGTCTTGATATTTAATTAAAGCAATTTATTTAAATTGACGAAATAATATTCTCGTTGTTTGAGTGAGGAAAAAAACCTAAACGAAATGTGTTTTAAAAAATACAATAATTTATTGGATATGAGTAATAATTTATAATAATATATGCATAATATGTATTTTGTTTTATATAGTGTACATATATTTAAGTTCCAAATAATTTTTTTATATCAATAATTTTACTAGTCATTGTTTTATTATAGATTTGATTCTATGCTAAAGACTAAGTAAATTTTACTTTTTGTTATTTAAAAGTTAGAATATAGTATAGTAATATATTAAAGGTAATTTAAATGTTAATAAATAGTTTTCAAAACAATGCATACCTCTGTGTTTGAAGTTGCCTGATATGTAATATGTAACGATTGCAAAGTCACGTAGGCATTTTGAGGGAATGGGAAGGAATTTTGTTTGGCTATAGGAAATTCCAATAAGACTCAATTTGAAATGAATAACACAGTTTATTTGGAAGTGGAAAATACAGTGTAAATTATCTGAAATTAAATAACGCAATTGCATCGTAATTGTAGATAAAGTAATGTTTATTCGAAAACATTCGAACAGCTGATTTCCAAAATAATATTTTTTATGAAATTATTGTTTTCCTCGAATGAGTCAGAGTCTCAAAATGGATTGCACAGTAAGAAATAAGAATTTCAACATAATGTCATTTTATGCATATTGCATATAATAAATAAACGAAACTACTTGTTTAAATAATTATGATAAATCAATAAATTTTGCCGCTGCGGTTTAAATAGCATAACAAAACGAACAAGAAATAGCGAAAGGCTATGCAAATAAAAACAAAAAACTAATAACAACTTGCGACTTTTTGTTATTGAGAATGCAGAGCCACCAACTAACCTTGATGACGTTTATTGCACTTTTGTACAGTTTGTAGAACAAGAAACTTAATCATTTATGTTATGTTTATAGACAGGTAAATCGATAGGGATGTGGGATGTATTTTACTTTATTCTATAAAAACAATAACAATAAATAATTTGTAATGTAAAGTAATAATATTGAAAAGAATTAATATTCTAATGAAAACAACTTCTGCATTTCTTGTGTTCACATATATGACGCATTTAAAAACTAGTTGCAACCCTCTGTTTTTATTTCAAATTCCATAACAAACTCAAAGAGGTAAGCCATAAAATATAAAACGTCTATATATATGAATATTTATATTTTTTAATCATTATTTGTACCAAGTCAGAAAATATGATAAACAAACTAAAACAACAATGTCTCATACGATGTCTTATTTCGTTACGCTCTTTTCACCTTTTTCCTTCTTATACTTCTTATTGTGTTTTTATATATCTTCTCTTATATGAGTATAATATATATGTTTGTATTGATATTTATATTTTGCTACGTTATGTTTAATTGCGTGGTTGTACCGGTCGCTTTTCTGTTGCGGAACTCTCCCCCGCTCGTAAAGCAACTTTATAAAATTGTTTATTTAAAACGAAACTTTTTTTTAACATCGTGTTCATTTTGTAGTGCAACAAAAACAGCTTAACTACAGCTGTGCGGAAATTATAATTTTATTGTGCAGAAGCTTTACTCTTATTCTTACTCTTTATTATTTCCATTCTGTTTCTATATCTTTCTCACTCGTACCTCTATCCAAAAAAATATGCACTACGCTTTTTATTTAATAATTATGCTAAAAATGACGCAGTTTATGTTCTGCTTATAGTAATAGAATTTCAGATTTTTTTTATATTTTAGTACATTATATATACATATTTTTTTATAGAAAATCAAAGTAACTATTTAAATACAGATTTTATATTGCCTTTATTGATTAAACCTTTAATAGTAAATTAACTTAAGTTGTAGATGTTATTTTGAGGTATATGGGATGATGAATAAAAATAAATGAAATTCGTTTTTAACTAGAAATTTTATTAATAACAATTTCTAATAATGGCAACCATATTTGCCATGCGGTTACTTAAATTTATTTCAGTAAGCCTGCGTCTTCAAAATTTGATTAAAACAAAAACGAAAAATATATATACATATGAATATACATACGTATGCTTTTTTTTTCGTAATATGAAATTATGTATTTGCGTTTTTGTTTTGAACATACACATACACTACGTATGTTTAGTTTCAACTTTTTTTTTTTATCATTGATAAATTGTTGCCGGTTTGCTCTTACTTATGCCGTTTGTTGAACGCATATTCTTTCCCCAGTCTTACTATTTTCATGAATTAAAAGAAAAGTGTAGCCATATTTTACGTAAATTAATTCATTGTTCTGTTTTTGTACATTGGATATATTACATATTATTAATAATAGTAATACATAGTTTTAATAATAAAATTTAATTTAAGGAATTAAATTGTTTTAATTTTACAATATATTTTGTTTTATTTTTTTGAGCTTAATTTTTAAAATATTCATAATTGTAAAATAACTATGATTGCTAACTACAATAACGTATATTAAAGTATTAAACTTTACAAGAAAAAGTAAAAATGTTTCAAAAATGTGTAATTCTATAAACTTTACGTTAATATCTATTACACATACACATACACAAGTGATATAATTTTTCCATTTGTTAATGTCTTCAACTTTTAATTAAATCCGATCATATAGAAAACAATTCCAGTTCAAAAAATTGTGTTCATTTATTATTGATTTAGTTTAGTAAGGATGTTTTGTATATTACTTGTTTGTGTTTCTTAAATTCTTTCGCAATTTTTTTAAACATGTACATATACATATATAAAATATGTGTATATAAAATAACATTAGAAATCCCACAAACATCAGTGTTCCAATTACAGGATCAAAGAAATAGTAATCGTATATAGTACTTTTTTGTCTTTTGTTTTTAATGTAAATGCTAAAATTGTTCTCATTATTCTTATTGTTATAATTGTGTCTGTACTTTTGTTGTTGTAAACATTGAGATATTAGGTGTAATCCTACTATTAACGAAACCAATGTTGTAGCAATTTCCATTTATTGTTTCTATTTGCAACTGCACTTGTACGTTATATATTCGAGTGATTGCATAGCTTATTGCATCTATCTTTTTTTTTTTTTTTTGATGCTCGATTATATGATCGTGCTCTGCCCGCCTCAATGCTGGATAGAATTTGGCAAAATTTTTATATTTGAGTGTAATTATTTTGTATTATTTTCGAATTTTCTTTGCCAACACAAATGTGTATGGATTAGTGAAAAAAAGAATGGTATAGTAACTATTTACCAAATATGAAAAATCTTCCAAAAGATATCTCATATTTATGTACTAATATTTTTAAAGCTTGTAACAGATTTGTTGTTATTTTTTAAAAACAAATCCTTGATATTGTTTTTCCCTTTTCTATATATTTTTTTTTTTTTTTTTTTATCAGTCTGGTAGCTTTTTTAACACATGCAAATACAATTTTACTCAACACGCGCCATTTGTTTTTGTTGCTGTATGTTGTTTTGTTGTTTGTCGGTTATGTATTTTCGGTTTGTTCAGCTCGTCAAAGTTTAGTCGCGTGTTCGGCTGCTGAGTAAAATATTCTATTGGTTTGTGGACGGACGCGGGGCTTTTGCCATGCTGTGTGGCGATTTCTTTTGCGTATTAACTTTAAAATTAGTCAAAATTAGGTTAAAACTATTTTCAGAAATAATCTTAATAGAAAAGGAATCATAATGATCGGTAAATATATTTTTCATAACATTAATTCATATAAAGAATATTTAATTTAGTGGAAAAATTGTAAAAATGAATATGCAAAAATAAGTTTAAAAAAAAAAGAAATTAAAAATCAATTTTCGTATATAACTTTAAAATTAAAAAAATTGAAAACTTAAAAACGCATGGTTGGTTTATATTGCTGATGAAATATTTTCATTTTCCGATACGTAAATTTGCCGCTATTATTGTGCGACGTCAGCTTTAAGAAATACATGTATAATTATATACCCGTGTGTGTGTCCAATATATTAATGCATAATATATACATATATATATATATATATCATTATTAGTTAATCAAAACAATAACAAACAAACGATGTATCAAACACATGGCTACGTCTACAAAAAAATTTCGTTTTTTCAATAAATCTAATATAATTGTTATATTTGTATATTAATATATATATTTTTTTATATATGCTGATTTTGTTTTTTGCATTTCCTCTTTTTTTTTTTAACAAATTTTTAGAATTTTTTTTTTTCCTTTAATAAAAGTGGAACAGAATGAAAACAACAATGTGCTTTTTAGTATGAACGACCTTGGCGTGAAATTTATGCGTATTTGCTTGTTGGTGCTTTGTTCGATTCTATCGGCGTAATTGTTTTAAGATACAAGATATTTTTATTTTGTAGTTTAGTTTTTGTTGATTAAAAGCCGCAAAATTGAATTTACTTAAACTACAAATATGTTTAATAAAATTATTTGAATAAAACACGTGCTGATTTCAAACTTAAAAATTTTCAAGTAATGTGAGACATATTATTGTTTTAATTAACCAAATAATATAGCATTGTGTTTTCGAAAATAAATTTTAAAAAAATCTGCAAAAAAAAAACAAAAAAACCTCTGTAATAAAGATTGTTGCTGCATATAGGAGAACGAGTATATATGTTATTTCAACGAATCATTTTATGATATTTGTAATTTTCTAAGCTTGTATTAACGTTTCAATTTTTATTTTGATATAATAGCAATAGTGTTAACAAGCTTACTATGCTGTTTTAATATAGTTTACAATATCAAATACTGCGTCGTTTAAACCCATTAATTTACAAGCTGTTTCATCCAATAACAACAAATACTATTTATGAACTCATATTAAAATTATAAGACCGCATGAATATTGCGTATTGCGATAATTATACCTAGTTCATAAATACTAGGTTATATTTTGTCGGTTGTCTTCTATTT